CCACTCCTCCACATGAAGCCAGCTGGGTGACTTTGGGTCAGTCACAGCTCTCTCAGAGTTCTCTCAGCCCCACCTACCTCACAGGGTGTCTGTTGTGGGGTGGGGAAGGAGATTGTAAGCCACTCTGAGACTCCTTCAGGTAGTGAGGGGCGAGGTATAAAACCAACTATTTTTCTTTTTCCTGTCAATCTCATAAAATTATGAGAAGCTGTGAAGTACTCTGTGTGTCTTGAAGGGAAGGCAGGGTGAAAACGTACTCGACAAATACCAGAAACTAGAAGTCATTTGTTGATCTAGTATTTGTTTGTTTTACATGACAGACCACAGTCGAACTATCACAAACAAGTTTACATCACATGTCAATTGTAATGCCTGCCTTTGGGAACGTCACCATTTTCTTCTTCAGATGTTCCAATGTTTACCATTTTTATTCAGTTCCAATGCAATAAAACTTACAAACCCTGGGCATTCCATTTCTCACGCTCTTGGGGACTACTTACCAGCTCCTAAGTTATCGTCTAGCTAACTGCTGCCTGCATCACTACATGACGGGAAAAGCGTCAGAACAGATGCCCTAAATCGGTCACTGCCAAACTGTGCATGGTGGCACACGAATATGAAAATTAACTGAGGACTCCTAAGGGGCTCTGGACACATCTCTATCCTATCAGCATTCTATGACAGCTTGTACCTCTGCTCTATCACTGCACCAAGCATGGATCAGCCGCGCACGAGGCAGAGATATATCTGCACTCAGAAGTCTGAGTATCTGAAGAAGTGAGCAGTGACTCACGAAAGCTCATGCCCTGCCACAAGTTTTGTTAGTCCTTAAGGTGCTACTGGACCCTTGCTCTTTTCTACTGCTAGAGCTCTGTAAGAGGTACTGCTCTGAGTGTGGGAGCCTCCCTCCCACCTTTTTCGGGTGCAAGAGTGAAGTGCGTCTTCAATTCTAAATGGCCTGCAAAGAAACAGAGAAGTATTGGGTGCTAGGAGTTCTGCTCCAGCCCAGTTGTCTTTAACACAGGTGAGGATCTTCAGGTGGGTTGTACGGCAATCCCCTACAGTGCTACGGCACATGAGTGGAGCCATAGGCCAATGAGACAAGGTCACTCAGTGGGGGAGACTCCTCTACAGCTCCGACCCTTGGCTTGTTGCTTCACTACAGTAAACTTCTTGGTGCTCGGCTTACCGTAGTTACTCAAAAGGTAAATGACCTTGAATGTAAGATAAAAATGTTAAGGTAAAGGTTTCCCTTGCTCGAAAGCTAGCTGAATCCGACTCTAGGGGGCGGTGCTCATTTCTGTTTCCAAGCCAAAGAGCCAGCGCTGTCCGAAGACATTTCCGTGGTCATGTGGCCAGCATGACTAAACACCAAGGCGCATGGAACGCTGTTACCTTCCCACCGAAGTGGTACCTACTTATCTACTTGCAATTTCTTGCTTTCGAACTGCTAGGTTGGCAGGAGCTGGAACTAGAGATGGGAGCTCACTCCATCATGCGGCACCCGGGTCTCTAACTGCTGAACTACTGACCTTCCACAGCCTGCAATTCAGCGTCTTAACCACTTGAACCACTGCAGCTCCTAATTCCAGGGAGTCAAAGGCTAATCTAAAGCAATGTTGAGCTAAAGCAACACCCTTTTCATTAGAAGACCCAGCGATGGTAGAAACCAACGCACAAGATTGTGCTAAGCTTTTAATCTGTTATAAAAGGGCACAATATAAGTCGACTCAAAAGCGCGCCTCAAGCACAGTAATTGAGCCACAGATGTCAACAACAACCAAGACTCCTTTGCAAAGTGACACACATATTGTTGTGAAACTGCTGTCAGAGTAAAGGCTAATGGATCTCTACCGATTTGCCTAAAAGAGCACCTGATGGGGGGGAGTGGGGGCTTTGACGAAAGACAGGAGCGGCCTTAGGGCAGGCTCAGTTTGGAAAGGAGAGGAAGAGGCAACTGAAAATTGCTTGGAAAGTGAAATGCTTTGTGATGTTCAATCTCTCAGGGGATCTGATGTGGGCTGGCGGATCTGCTGCCCTGTAGGAGTGCCTTTTTGCCTCCACTTGCACTCTGCTTTTGAATTTGCCCTACAAAAATGCCACCAGCCTCCAGTGCTCCTTCCCCCAAAAGAAACCAAACCCAGCTGCATTGCTGCTGGAACTTCACACCATTCACAAAAGTGGGGATCAAATAATGGCATGGTTCTTTATTCATCCTTACCAATGTTGCTCGGCATTTCATGTGTCCTTATTTAAACATCTGAACCCACCTATCCTGGAGCATCCAGTGTGATAATGTAAAAGAAGTCAAAAGGTGGGCTGCTAATACTGCAGAGTGAGCTCAAAAGACTGACCATGCACAAAAATGGAAATATCTTTCATTCTGTCAGAAACAGGCTCAGATTAGGTTCTGGAGAATGAAGCAATCTTACAATACAATCCTACATAGAGTTACCCCAATCTAAGCCCATTCACTGAATAATGTGGGACTTACTTCTGAGTAGACCTGCTTAGGCAAGCTCCCTTAATGTCTCCAGTCTGCTTCCAACAAAGAATAACACATTTATCAACACTCCCAAATTTTAAAAGCGGAGCCTTTTGCTCCTCATTACCTAGGATTTTCAAGAGTGTTTTTTCACTGTTTTATTCCTCTCTTTATCACCACACTCCATGAAACAAGAATCAGTGCTAGGCTATTCAAATTATCTTCCAGGGGGAAACAACAACAACAACACAAACTGATCTATTCCCAGCCTGCCAAATCTACTAAAGTTAAAGCCAAACTTGGGGCAGTGCAACTACGCACTGGATTGAGCCAGCTAATTGAAAAAAAACACAGAGGTCCACAGGGAGAAGAGAAATTGTGAAACAGTAAAGATTGGCTTCCTCAAGTCTTCTGCTTCGATCCTGGAAGGACTGGACATAACAGAAAGAGGAACCAATTAAACTCTCCTCTTTTCCGATATATATAAACCCAGAACAAGGGCTTAGGGCAATGTATGATAAGTACAATATTTATTTCAACCAACGAAAGCAAAACACTGTAACAGCAAACTGACAACAATAGAGCCAAATTGCATTTTGTGGTTTTTTCCCCATTGCAATAATAGATATGCTCCTATTCTCTGAAGGAAAAACGGGAAGACTGCTTCATTAAAAAAAAAAATTACTACCCCTCCCACTTTTGTGGGTGTACATGCTGGAATTAACCCCTCCCCACCACAGTCCCTCTTTGTCCAGAGTCCCCCATTAACAGGATACGAACAAAGCGCTATCTTCTCAAAGGAGCAAACTTGACAAAGATACACTCTTGACAATTGGCTCCGTACGGTGCAAATCAAACACCACTGAAAGTCAGAAGCAGTCAGAATGCAGAGAAATGATTCTTCACCCGTCTTCAGATCCATACACAAAAGCTTAAACCCAGAATTAAACTTTGTTGGTCTTAAAGGTGCCACTGAACTCAAACTGTGTTGCTTCAGACGATCATGGCTACCCACCTGAATCTTTCTTCCTCCCAGGTATCTATATAAAAGGTTACAACCTTTACAAGGTGAATTAGCACTCTGTGAATGCTCAGCAGCTAACCTGAAATTACATTTACATGCAGTCAAGTCAAAAGGCTGGGGAAAGTTAAATACGTGAACAGAGTGTGAATAAAGAATTTGGAAACTTTTAAGTATGTTCTGCCTGCCTTTTCATTTACCATCATACGGGGTAACTTTTAAACCTAGGGTGAAATTATCTTAACCCCATGCCTTTTTTTTTGGTAACCAACGATTGCTTATACAAATATTTTCCTTCTTTTTCTGAACTTAGTATGATTGGTCTCTGAAGCCCCACGCCAAAACCTAACTTGGCCCATACTTACCAAGATACAAAGAGAAGATAGAGAGATGCCTATGTGGACATGAATAACTCTTAACAAGCAAGATTTCAATGGTTTTCCTCCCGTGCCCTTGATGGTTTGGTTTAGGAGGGTGACCCTTGAATTGGAAAGAAGTTTCTTGACTAAATAGAGGGTCTGGGTTGCAGGTTACCACAAGAATACTGCTAAGTCCTTATCTAGTGGTGACAGCAAAAAAAAAAAGAACCCTAGTTGGGAGGTGGGAAGAATAGTCACTGGGCAGACGCTATATGCTGCTGGGGGTTGGATCAGAGCAATAACAGATCACACTGATAGCCCACTATTAAGATTCCTATATAATATCCTGGGAATCCCTTGATGTGTGTCAGGAATAGCTCTGAGAGCCGAGGTTGGGGGAGACACCCTTTGAAGCAAAGGCCTGGGGCAGAGTATTCAATCTAAATATTAGGATTCTAAAATCAAATCCATAATCAAGTCTCCTCGGATTAGTCAAGGTGGACCATCACACAAGTAACTGGGACAGATTACTGGATCATAAATTATCAGGTTTGGGCATTACCCATGATGGGACAGAAACAATGAATAAACAAGAATTGGCCCAGTTCATTAGAAGACGTCTGAGGGACTTTAATTATGACAGTATGTTGATTAGAGTTCGCAGAGCATGTTCATCTTCCACAGTAGGCATTCTCCCTCCAACAAATATGCCAAACCATCTACCTGAGCTAACTCTTCCAAAGTACAGAACGGTGTTCATGCTTGTGCACCTGAATGTTAGGAGGATTCAATGGAATTCCATATTCAGACAGAATCTGTAATTGTCACAAAAAACGGAATCAATTCTGTGGATCACAATTTTTTGGACTGCTCCAGATTTCCAGATCTAGGAGCTGAACTGATCTCTCCATTATTTAACCAGGACTTTGTCTCTTCAGAAGTTAAATCATCTTGGTTGCTCAGAGATAAACAAACTACTTTGTTTGTGGCAAAGTTTCTGGCAGCGGTTGTTAGCTTACATGATAACTTTTGTAGTAGCGTTTAGGCTCTCCTTTTTTGGGGTGAGGGTTTGCTGTTTATGACTCTGATTGCGAAAACAATAATTAAGAAGTAAGTTAGACTGAAAAATAATTACCAGTGCTTTCCATACAGCCAGTTTCCTCCCCAGGTGAGCAGGCCGATCCCAACAGTAGTCTTCTTCCAATTGTTTCTAAGGGTTTGAAACATTTTGATCACCTTGGCCATGTTTTGTTTTACTCCACAGCACACCTTACAAGGATTCCGATGTGAAGAAATGGTAGTCTAGAACATCCATGTGATAAACTACAAATAATAAGAGTAATAGTCACAGAAATGGCTAAACGTTTGTTGATCTTAATTCACTTGCTTCTTTTCCAGAAAGCGGATTTATATAGGTAACGGCCCAGTTTAAAGAGGATGCTATGCAGTCCAAGGTCCCATGGGTAAATACTTTGACCTTTCCAATATCACATTTCAGTCAGGCCTTAAGCTTGAGCAAGGCACAGATCTTCCTTGTCAACCCTGCAAGGGTGTCACATTTAAACCGAGTTGCAACCCATGCAAAGCAGCTATGCATGTCTAGGTTGAACAACCACAATGTGTAACTCACCAGCACTGCATTTGAATCAAGCTTCAGACATGATGTTAGCAAGCAAAACAACTCACCCATGAGACTTTGTGCTTCCACAGCATGTGAACTGGTCTGCTACCCATGCAAAACAGTTCTGCACACTTGGCACGTTCACCCGGGCCACTGCTGTGCTGGCCCACAAATGAAGCACAACACGCTGTGTGAGTGCACAAATCAGCTTGCCCATTATGAAATCCACCACCCAAGGTAACTGTCCTGCCTTTGCAGAATGAGATGGCAGAGAGCCAGTGTTGTGTAGTGCTTAGAATGTCACTCTAGAATCTAGATTTGAGTCCAGTCGCACCTTAAAGACCAACGAGATTTCCAGGATATAAGGTTTGAGAGTTAAAATTCCCTTCATGAGCCTAGCTTATACCCAACCAGGGTATAAGCTAGGCCAGGAGTTCCCAGCACCTTCTGTGGTGCCCACCATTTTTAGTAGGGCTGCCAAGCCGCGGCGGGGGATCCGCACGTCTTCACAGGATCCCTGCCACGGGGGACAGCGACGCGTAGCGTCTGGCAGAGCGACGCGTAGCTTCTGGCAGAGCGACGTGTAGCGTCATCCTGGCGACGGCGGTGCAACGCGTATCGCTGTCCCCCGAGGCAGGGATCCTGTGAAGACGTGCGGATCCCCTGCCGCGGCTTGGCAGCCCTAATTTTTAGAACGTCAGCAGGGCCAGGTGGGGCTCTTGCCTAGCAGGGCTTCTGATTGGCCTTTGGAGATTTGACTGACTGTGCAGATTTTTAAAAAAACAATACTTGGGGAACAGCTACCAACACAGCACAAGGATCCTCACCATGTGACTGAAGGTAAGCTGTGGCAGCCATTTTGTGGCTGGCTCCACCTTTTGTGGCAGCCATTTTACAGCTGTACCCACCTAGAATTCCAAAGGTGCCCATGGATTAAAAAGTTCTGGGGCCCCTGGGCTAGGCTGAGAGGGGGAGCTGTGTGTCATCCAGTAGGTACTGCCCTTTCACTAGTCTCTTTTAGAACTGCATCTTCGGCCAGAAGCTACGGGTTAGTGGCGGGTGTGCGATGCTTGCCAGATGTTGGCATCTGATTGCGCTGGTTTAATCCGCCCTCAATCCGTCTGTTTCGTGGGGCAAATCCTCCTGTGTGACCCGGGCCAAAGTAAACTTCTTTGGCCCTCCACAGGGGGAAAAGGTCAGATATAAATGAAGTAAATAAAGTAAAGGTCAGATATAAATGAAGTAAATAAACTTAATGCACCACTGCAGACTGGTTCAGCCTCTTCCCCTCTGCACTAGTTGTCTTCCAGCTGAGAGCTTTATAAAGCAAAGGTGCAGACAAAAATGCTCATCCCGCAAACACTGACATATACTTGAAGAAGAAGAAATTGGATTTATACCCCACCGTTCACTACCCAAAGGAGTCTGAGTGGCTTACAATCTCCTTTCTCTTCCCCTCCCCACAAGAGACACCCTGTGAGGCAGGTGGGGTTGAGAGAGTTCTGTCAAGAACTGCCCTTGAGAGAACAGCTCTGAAAGAACTTATGACTGACCCAAGGTCACTCCAGCAGCTGCATGTGGAGGAGTGGGGAATCAAACCCGTTTCTCCCACTGCTCTTAACCACTACACCAAACTGGCTCTCGGTACGCTGAAGTGCTACAATCCATTCAGCCACCTCACTCTGCTGCATGGGTACATTTCACTTGTTACCCGGCTACATTTTATTTATTTACAACATTTATTGCATGGCTTCGGCCTCCTCTAGACAGGCAGCAGCAATGTGGTAGCATGGGCTAAGCAAGTGTAGACTGCGGGCAAGATATGCCATCTCTCAGTGCTCTATAGCATCAAAGACACCTCTGCAAAGAGAAAATTAGCACAGCAGACGGAGAGCTGGGCTAGAGCCATTCTGTGCTGTTTTTCAGGACAGGACACTGTCTATGCAGACCAATGTCCTCTGAAAAGGTACAACCCAGTCTACCACCTAACTGCCCTTGAGAGAACAGTCAGTCTACAGCAGTCAGCCCTGGGTGGTAAAATCCTGACCAGGTGGCACCGTCCCCCTCCTGCCTCTTGAAGCTGCCTTCTACTGAGTTACACCATTCGCCTGAGTCAGATCACTGGGCTTTCAAGGTCAGTTTTACTTACTCTAAGTCGCAGTGACTCCCCGGGGTCTCAGATTTTTCACATCACCACCTCCTGCTCGATCCCTTTACCTGGAAATGCCAGTGAGCCACTGTCTCTCTCCTTTGAGAGCCCTGTCCACTGTACTCCACCATACAACTCGTGCAGCATGAGGAAGAAAGTCACAGGTGGGGTTGTCAACCTCCAGGTGGGGCCTGGAGTTCTCCTGGAATTAGAACTGCTCTCCAGACTTATAGAGATCAGTTCCCCTGGAGCACATGGCCGCTTCAGAGAGCCACCTTAATGGCATCATATTCCCACAGAGATCTCTCCCCCCTCCTTAAATCCAACCCTCCCCAGGCACCCCCCCAAAAAAAAAAATCTCTAGGGATTTTTTTAAAGCCAGAGAGTGGCAACCCTAACAAAGGCTAAAGCTTCGGTTTTCCCACATTGCTACCAATGTTCCCTCTAAGCTGAGTTAGTGTGAGCTAGCTCAGAGTTTTTTAGCCTCCAGCTCACAGATTTTTGTCTTGGCTCAGGAAAAATGGCTCCAGAGCAAGCTAATTGACGCAGCAGCTAAATCACTCGCTCACAACTTTAATGCCAGGAGCTCACAAAGTAGAATTTTTGCTCACAAGACTCCACAGCTTAGAGGGAGCACTGATCGCTACCTAAGTGCACCTGGAACCAGTCACTCAGGCAAACATCCTTCACAGGGCTGTCGCTATGAAAGGGAAGGGAAGAGGAAGCGAGCGTCTACACTGGGCATCTAGCGCCACGTTTGTTATAAACGTAGACCTAAAACGAAACAGATTCATGAATACTGCGGCAGAATTAAGGAGGCCGACCTGTCGGCTCTTCCCGGGGCAGCCTCCTTCGGCACGTGGAGTCCTTGACCTCTTCTTCTTCGTCCTCCTCCTCCTCCTCGCCGCACCCTCTGCATGGGGCAGGCGCCCGGCTTCTGTCAGTGCTGCCCCGTTGCTGCGAGGTGGCTGAAGGGGTAGGGAGCGGAGGCTTCCTTCGAGCGAACGCCGGCGCGCCTTCTCCCCAGCCGGCCCCTAAAGAGCGCCGCTTCCTGGCCCGGCGTTGCTCTTCCCCCGTCTCCAGTGGAAACACTGAGCCGCCTCGCCTTAGTTCCGCGCAGGCCGGGGCCAGCCACCACCCCTGGGCCAGCGGGCGGCGTTATTCCTCGTAAGGGAAACCGGGAAGGGGGGGGGGGGTTCTGGCCGGGCTGCAGTGGGAGACGAGAGACACACACCCCCTCCCTCCGCCCTTTAGTGCTTAATTTGTGTGAAAAGAAACGGCGGCAAAGCGAAGTTAAAGTTACCCCCCCAGTGGATGCAAGGAAGCAGCTGGCTTCGAGGAAAAGTAGGATCGCCTTCGAAAGCGGCTACTCGAGGGACTGTGAAGAAGGGAGAGGCGTTTCAGCCCCCTCCTGAAATCACAAGCCCCCAAGTCTCCTGGGGGAGGAAGCCAGGACAGCAGAAAGGCAGGATAACAGTGTGGCTGGGTGTTGAAGGGCTGATGTTTTTATTTTTTGTTCCTGACAGAATGAAATTCACGTGAAGTATGGAAACCATGGGGTGCTGCGTTTAGAGGACTGGCTGCAGGACTCAAGTTCTAGGGTTACCATATTTCGAAAAGTTTTCCCGACTGACTACTTCAAACAAGTGATCCAATGCTCCCTCTAAGCTGTGGAGTCTTGTTAGCAAAAAACAGAAATGTGTGAGCCGGAGGCTAAAAAAACTAGCTCAGCATAGAGGGAACACTCACTATGACAAATCTCATTTTAAATACCCCTAACCATTTAAGCTGTGATTTGATATTCCTAACCTTCCAGCCTGTTATGTATTGAGCCTAAGCCATCCCTGAGTGTGGACCATGAATGGGTGAGCTTGCTCCCCAAGAACAATAGCTGACCAGGATCCTGGAATTGACCTGTAGATAAGCAGTGTAATAATAATAGCGTATCCTTGGGAGTGGGTGGATGTGAGGTGTGGTGTTTGCATGCTTTATAAGCAGGGATCAGAACCTGCTGGGTGTTCTTGTTGTGTTCCTGAAACAAATGAACTAGAGCTAATCACTGCAATGTGCCCAGAACCCAGAATTTAACACAACCCAAAGAGGACATTTTCCTCAGTTTTGTAAACACAGCCTAAAAGAGGACTGACACACAAAAAAGAGGACACCTGGTAACCCTAACTAAAAAGAGGACATCTGGTAACCCTAACTCAACCATGAACTGCAAAGTGGTATTCTTTGTTAGTCTGTTGTATCAAAAGTCCAGCGGCACCTTATAGACTGATCGCCAAAGTGACTTTTTTGTTTTGTTTATCCTAACAACTGTTATTGGTAGGGTTGCCAGCTCCTGGTTGAGAAATACCTGGAGATTTGGGGATGCAGCCTGAGGAGGGTGGGTTTGAGGAGGGGAGAGACTTCAGTGGGGTGTAGTGCCATAGAGTCTACCTTCTGAGCAGCCATTTTCTCCAGGTGAACTGATCTCTGTCACCTGAAGATCAGTTGTAATCATAGGAGATCTCCAGCCACCTCCAGGAGGTTTGCAACCTTACTTATTGGCACCTCCTTGATTTTGGTGTTGTACGTGTATGTTTATAGAATTAGCTGATATTTTAAAATGCTGTTTTAAAGTTCAGCTGTTTCACGTTTGCCATATTGGGGACCCTAATCAGGTGGAAACCTGGCATAAAAATGTTTTCAATGGAATGAAATAAATTTATTTCCACATGAGCTTTATTTTATTTGGCTCATTCTGTCTCTGTCAGCCTAACCTACCTCTCAGGGCTGTTAGGAGGACAAAACCATAGGAAATGAGACTCAGGTTCACTAACCTGAGCTCCTTCTAGAAAGGGCAGGATTTTTTAAAAGTGTAACAGAGAACAGCTGCATTTCACCTAAGGGCGGTCTCTGGTGTGGAGCTGGTATTTTGAAATGGCTTGCCAGAATGGTGAAAAGGGCACTTTCGTTCCTTGCTTTTCAGAACCATTCAGCTAGAAAAGCTATACGTTCTACTCAAGCAAGTTTGCACTTTGCAGAAACTTGAAGGGAGGGGGAATCCGGCTATCTACCTAGTGCACCTTTGTCCCAACTTCTTCCAAGGAGCTCAGGGCAGCATACACAGTTTTCCCTTCCCCATTTTGTCCTTACAACAACCCTGTGAGGTAAGCTAGGCAAGGAGAATGTGACTGGCCCAAAGTTACTCGGCAAGCTTCATAGCAGAGTGGAGATTCAAACCCAGGTCTCCACATCTCATTCTGACCCATTAAATACTAAACCTTAGTGGCTGTTAAAGGTCAGGAGGACTTCTCCAAACAGGTGGTTGTGGAGAGGGTTAGGAGATACCAGGCACAGTTCCGGGGCACTAAATGTGTCATATTAGTGAGTTCTCTCTCCCCCCATACCCTTAATTTCTAAGGACTGCAGCGTATGATTGCTCTGTAGGTGTACAATCTTACAGAGTTTCACAAGCTGGCGGGAATGGAACATGATACTGAAAATAAATTGAAGATCTAAGCCTTCTTCTAATCTTTCCCCAATCAGCTGCTAGGGGACATGCTGCTTTCATTAGACATTTTCTTTGGCAATTTTTCTGGATTTTGCTGAGAACACTTTGTAATGTGAAGTCTGCCACTTTTTGCAAGCTTTGTTGAAGCATACTAAAATGTTATTAAAAGACTAAAATCACACACTAAACTGCTACAACAATCTAAGATGGGCCCAGGCTGTTCAAGGCTAACACTCCGGGTTGCCAGGTCTGTCCTGGCCAGGCCACCAGCAGGGGAGGGTTGCCAGATCCAGGTTGAGAAACTCCTGGAGATTTGGGGGTGGAGCCTGGGGAGGTCAGGGACCTCAGTGGGGTACAATCCCATAGAATCCCCCCCCCCAAAGCATCCATTTTCTTCTGGAGAACTGATCTCTGTACTCTGGAGATGAGCTGTAATTCTGGGGGATCCTCAGATCCCACCTGGAGGCTGGCATCCCTACTCAGCACTATGTTCCAGCATGAATCTTGCTTGAGAGAGCTTTTATGTTCCAAAACAAGCTTTTGGACTAGATGGTCAGGAGCAGCTCTTAGGGAAGAGTGATTTGAAGGCAAGGGATTTCGCTCCCTGGTGTATCAGCTTTGCATGCAGAAGATCCCAGGTTCAATTCCCAGGACCTCTAGTTTAAAAAAAATAATAATCTGGTGGTAGGTGATGAGAAATACTTCTGCTTGAAAACCTGGACAGCCACTGCTAGTCAGAGTAGACGATACTGGCCTTGATAGCCCAAATGGCCTGACTCAGTATAGAGCTGCTTCATGCATTCACGTCATGTGTTGGGGTTTTTTACAAAAATTGGGTCAAAAGTTGCAGAGGTGATCAAAGCCCACTGCACTGTCCCCCCCAAATGTTTTTAAATGTTATGAATATCATCAGAAATAGCTACATATCAGTATATCCTACAGATGCCTTTCCTGGATCTCCTAGTAGCATAATCTTCATTTCAGGAGAGGCCAGAGAAGGCAGGATGTGGTTGTACTGTCTAAACAATTTGTCAAACGGAGCCATATGTCAGAATGTCCTATTTGGAGTGCTGTTTGCCTTTCAGGTCTTGAAGCGGCAGTAGCTGGTTTTCAAAAGAAATCTTGCTTCGAGAATCTCCTGCCTGAACACCAGTTGCTGTTCTCCATTTCAGTGACAGCAAAACTCACGGTTTGTAATAAATTGCTACGTGATAGGATCTCATACCTGCTTCTGTGGGCTGGGAACAGAAAATATATGATAAGTGATTTTCAAAAAGGGGAAAAGAAAACCCTACATGTCAGGCTCCCCTTCTTGTACAGCAGCTCATTCTCCATTTCAGATGCATTGAAAAACTTGATATGCTCCAAGGATTTATGGCTGAAGCCAGTTTTGCATGGTCTGGCATTGTTGCTAGGAGACTTCTGGGGAGTGATCATTTGTGGATATCAAGGCATTCTGAATATCACGGCTTAGTACTGCTTCTCTTGCTTCTGTACAGCTGTGTATTTGTACTTGTCTTGCCCGCTCTACTGTGTGTCTGCAAATAAACAGATTACAAAAAGGACATAGTAAGGGGCTTTCAGTTTTTTCTCGCATTCAGTATAATGGTTATGGGAGAAAAGGGAGACGTGAAACACTATTTTAAGGGGCATTCAGTATAATGGTTACGGGAGAAAAGGGAGACGTGAAACACTATTTTGGAATCATCATGGAAGACCTGTCCTCCGCTAATGTAGCACAGTTGATTCTACTCTTGTGTTACCTTTTATACCAGAATAATGGACTAGCCCAAACCTACCAGGTGTTATCTGCCTTAGAAATAAAGAACAGCTGCAACTGACTTTATTATTGCCTTATTACCCATCCAGGCTTATGACCTGATGCAACATCTCTATCAGAATCCCTCCAGGCAAAAGTGCTTGCCCTATTTTTTTGGGCTCTGGACAGCTGGTTCCCTTAAGGGCATAGCCTACCTGCTGTACTTTATTTTTTCCTCTCAAGTACCAGATACTTCTTTCGATCTTTTCTGCTGTTCTGTTTCAGACACTTAATGGAAGTTACTAGCAAAAGTGGGTACAAGCAGAGAGTTGAGAGCTGTCCTTTGAATTTTACACTGCAATCTTATTTAAAGGCCAAAGGAAGTGACCCAACGTTTGTTCTTGTTTCCAGAATGTTGTTGAGAGGTTACTGAAAATACTTGCTTTAATTGTCATTTGATAGGGGTTAAATAGTTGGCAGAAGGGTATTTTGTAAAATGCAGCGCCGATCCCCCAAAAGATCACAGATGTGTCATCAAAATTTATCCTGCAGATTTTTCATCATTGCAGCACAGCATTTCTGTATATATTTCTATTCAACTCCCACCCCTTTTGACAGGGAAGGCTTCTCCCCTTGA